TGCGTGGGGAATTTAAACGGATTCTTAATAATAAAACAAATAGAGAAGCCTTGATTGTGCTCTGTTCGGTTGTAAAGGACCAAGGAAGCGGCTAGAGCACTCAAGAAGTGGGGAGAAACTCAAGACTAGGTCTCGTGTTTCTCCCTACACTTCTTTCGTGCTCCAGCCGCTTCCTGCGTGCTTTACAACAGAACAGAGCATAGCCAGGGCTTCTCTATCTGTTAAATAAGACACATCGTTTTCGTGTGAGCTGGTTTCGTGTGAGCTGGTTTATCGAAAATCATCACTCAAAATTTACGATTTCTTTGAACAAGTTGTCCACAAAAAAATTTCCTTTTTGAAGGAAAAATGATGGCAAGCGAATTCAAAATACTGAAGTTCTAGTGGCAGTTCTAGCTTAATAAAGATCCGAAGGAGGGTTTTGATTTTCAAAATGGTAATATTATTTCCTTTCAAGGTGTGCTGATTTGCTGAAAATGGACTCATGAAAACAAACAAGTTTCTTTGAGGGAAGGGACCACCACGCAGTTTCTAACGGTCAGTGATACGTAAAAGAAGACTCAGATGTCCTCGTTTCTTCGATTGACTGACGGACGGAAAATTTTGTCAACAGCAACTCGAGTCTAAATGGACGGGAAATTTGCAACAAAATGCAACTGCCCGTTGCAATATAGACCAAGATTGGCTTAACTGTCATTACATTGGACAAGTGACATTCCACATTACTTCTAACAGTCAATTTAGTTTGCTTAACGTCGAGCCAAATCCCTCCATATTTTTAACGAAAGCACGAAAATCATGTCTAAAGATCTTAATTTTCTCTGTAACAAGCGTTGCCTAGAGTTTATTTTAAATTTTAGTCAGTATCAGCACGGCCGAGGGTACCAGCCCAGCATCCTGGAGACTAGTTTCCATGTCTCCGTCCGTGTAAGTTTTCCGGGGAAAGGTGGTCATCAAGTTGAAAGGCGTCGAGCCATCTGTGCGGTTGTCATGTATGTAATTACGAACTGCCTCCAGGGTGTCCGTGGCTTGGAAAGTTCCAGTGATCGTACTGCCATTTGTTAAACGAAACTGTTGATGATAAAATGAAAAGTTGGAATGTATTAGGAACACGTTAAAATTTGAACATTCTCGAAAAAGTAGCCCTTAAATTAAAGCGAATTAAGAGGAAAAAAGCAATGATTTCTCAACGTGCTGAATTTGAAATGAAAAAAGTGAAACCTGTATTTACCCTAAAATCCCTAAGTGACTATCATCTAATTTCTCATTACAGTATCACTGCTGAGTTAAACATTAAGGTCACGAGAAAGAAGGACATGATCACCAACCAATGAAGCTGTTGATTGTTTAACAAATTCTCCTTACTAGCACCATAAGAAACGAATAGAAAACAGTATGAAGAATATGCATACTGATGTTAGGGTATTAAAGGTGAAACAGACATGCACGGGACTTGCTACTATCTGCTTGACAGTGCAGGGTGTCTGTCTTAAATACGACTCACTCCAGGCATTATTTCAAAAGCGTTATTTCCTAATTTTCGTAAAAATTCTCTCCGACAAAAGAATCGGATTTAGTAATTGACTGCTCTGGCCGTATAGTTCTGATCATTCGAGTATTATCTTTATAAATGGACCGGTCGTGCCAGCGTAAGCCCCATATGTATTGCCTGATCAGTGTAAATATTACCCTACCTGTAGTTTACAAGTCGTGTGTTGTTTTTTCTCTACAGCGGCGGGTTGAACTGTTTGAGCTGGTGCTGCAGTAGCTGCTGCATTGACCGGCTGTGGGTCGGCTCCACCCTTACCGAACTGTAAACAAGCATTGTAAATAACGTAAATTGACAACCGTAAAGAGTTTAATTAAAAGCTAAATTAGTAAAACGAGGCACAATAGTTAGTATCTCTTTTTACCAAGATTGGCATTAATGTCGCAATCTGATTGGCCAATTTGCCATTGTTGATAAGAGTACAGACAACGCTGCTCATGTCAACGTGTCACGATCTTGGTCACGCACTGAAAGAATCGTTTATTTGACGCCGATATTGTGGCAAAAAAACAAATTGTCAGTGGCTTAGATATTCTTCAAGACACTGGTCAAAATTTGTTGCGGACTCACTCGGCTGCGCTTCGTGAGCACAACATTTTGACCACTGTCATGACGAATATCGTGGTCGATAAGAATGAAGACCACACTAAAGCATTGACGATTTGTTAAATAGCTATAGTGGCGGAGGAGTGTAAAAACGAACCCGACCCGACCTGATCCGATCCGATCCGATCCGATCCGATCCGATCCGACCCAAACCTTTCTCGCCCTGATTTACTAACTGTAGGCTTGGAAAAGGCTAGTATTGAGTATTTCCCCTCCTCACCTTTCCAGCTCTCTCAGCTCTATCTCTTGCGATCTGATCTTTGACTCTTTGTCTATAAAAAGGAAAACAATTGCATAGTCGATACTGTCTGAAAACGGTTACCCATGCTTGTTCTCTCGCACTGAAAAGTTACAATGTCGTCACGGTTGCATACAAAGGGAGGAGGGGGAGGGGGGGAAGAAGTCCCTAAGTTAATCGTAATATACACAACGCAAAGTATAAAGTGAGCATGCAGCTTTTGCGCACGCCTTTCAAACACGTCTCAAGGACTCAATTATTTAGCCACTAACCCCCCACCCGCCGCTCCCCCAAAACAAAACAAAAATGCAAAGAAACAATAACAACATATCAAACGAACTGCAACAAAAAACGGTTTAAGACATTAATGACTTACTTTGCTAATCTTTCTTCCATTTTCTCCCTTTTCCGTTCATTAGCTATCTTCAGTGCTTCTTGATATTCCATCCTAGCAAGATGAGGCAAACAGGGCAAATTGTAAAATATAAAATAATACCATGCAAAGAGAACTCATTAATGATATATTTCTTATCACCCTTGTGGATGTTTAGAAAGTCAGCGCAGTGCCTTGTGTAATTCAAATAGTTTCTCTATAAACCATACATACCTCCCTACCCCCCCTTGAAAACATTTGCTCAAAGAATCATTTTGATGATTTTTTGTGCAAAAAAATATTTGATAAAATGCTGTTAGGTGACAGTCTTAACAGACTTGCACATACTTTTGTTTCACTGTCGTCAGTTCCTTTCCAAACTTCCTTCTGCTCTTTTCTTTTT